TCGTACATGAGCAGGATGGAGCCGTCCACCTTCCTGCCAAAGTCCATGTAGCCAAAGAAGGACACCATGGCGTACAGCAGGAAGCACAGCGTCATGCCCAGCCCGGAGGCAAGAGTGAACCTGGTGAGCGTGCGGTCCGTCATGTCCCAGTACACCTCGTATGAGTTGATTTGACAAACGTATGCAAACATAAAGACGCCAAGCCCCTCAATCGCCTTGTTGCCGCTATTGAAGAGCACCACAGGAGCGTCATCGTCCTTGCTCACGCTGATTTTGTGGATGTTGTCCGGCAGCCCGTGCGTACACGAGTGCACAACGATGACCAAGACAAAGTAAATCATGAAGGAGACAGCAAAGGTGGAAAAGTAGCGGAGCGAATCAACGTGCTTCGGGATCACCAGTGGCATCATCGCGCAGAGCCACACAAGGGCCGTCAGCAGGCGATTGCCGGTGGATTCCCTCAGGAACTGCGGTGCGCTGTCGCTGCTGCTTATGATGTTCCTGAAGATATCACCGACACTGATCACGTACGCGACACAGCCGCTAAATCCGTGAAAGATGCGCACACCCGCCGCAAAAAGGGCAAATCCGCGGCCCAGCAGCGCCAACGCAACACCCTCAAAGGTGCGGATCTGCGATCGCTGCGCTGCCAAGCCAAGAGCATACATCGAGTAGATGGTCAGGGACGTGATGACCGCGAGGTACACGAGGGCCATCACGAGCCCACTGCTGTTCGCTGCCAGGGGCAGACCGAGGATGCCGGCGCCAATCGACGACGACGCAAGGTTGAAGGCGCTCGCAAGGATACCGCCCGGAGGAATAACGACAATCACGCACCGTTTCAACTTCGCGAGAATGGTGTCGGAGGCCGGCGGCTCGTTAGACACGGGCATCAACTTCTCCGGCACCGCATCCTCCCCCGTGCGTTTCCTTTCGCTGCCGTTCATCTCGTGAGATGAGTGGTGTGACGGGCTGTCGCCGTCGTCGGGCAGGCTGCCGCTCGTGGCGGGGACCACAGGGTTCGTCCGGCTCATGAATACTGGCGTCCTCTCTTCACTGCTAGGCGTGTGCGTGTGAGTGCTTCTCTTCCCAAACTATTGGAGCTCCTACAATTGCAACAAGAAGTAACGAAAGGAGAGAAGGGGAGAAAGTTGTCAAGCAGGCGGGTGCGTGTGTTGGTGCGTGGAGACGCCGGGAGGGAGCCAGCGGGCCGCGCCTCCACCGGGGCCTCATCCGGCCCCTCAGCGCCGACTCATCCGTCGCCCCTTACCCACAGGCTGCGCACACAGCAGCAGGGGGTCATCGCAGGTACCGGGCGGTGGCGCCCAAAAGCCAAGAGAAGGTCGTAGTGACTGCCGGGAGCCCCGTGCGTTCGGACCCCAGGCGCTGCATCCAATGCACCAAAGTAAAGCAACGTGTAGTTTTTTCCGTTTCTCTCCCGTCCTCCGCTTCCTTTTCACCGTGTTCATCTTTTTGTTCCATGTTGCGGTTGTCCGTCCCGCACAGCACTCTCAATTCCCAGCAACGCGCTTACCAGAGGCATCAGGACCGTTTTTATGCGCTCCTTCCGCCATGCATCTTCCAGTAGCGTCCACGCCCTACCTCTCCCTCTAAGAGCAGAAAGATGGCAAGAAAAAGAAAAAACATGACTCGCGTTGGTCGCGTCGTCCCAATTCCCACAAAAATAGGCATTCATGCCGCAACGGATGGAGAGTCAAAGATGGCTTCTCATCGCCCACACATCGTTAATCCCCTTAAAAAAGAAGTGGAGGCACCAGGGGCGTCTTTTACCTGCTTCCCACGCGGCACGGTTGACAGGGCCTGGGTGGGGGAGATGAGCGGGCGGTTAGAACACACATTTTGCCGCAAACCACAAATAGTAACAAAATTTAAACACCGGTAAAATATTATTGGAACACTTCGACCAGACACATTTCTTGCGCCACAACGTTAGTGTCGGAGTATGCGCATGGCGGGGCCTTGTCGCCACTTTTCCTTCCAAAATGGGAGGAGGGGAGCAGCAGGGGAAGTCCACAGTTTGGTTCCGCTCGCCCAACCTCCCCCCACACTCCAGAGAGGACATGCCCCACGCTCATACACCAGCAAAACGATTGGCCCATACATCGCTCTCTGACGGCCGGGGCCGTTGTGGACTCACGAGGCGGCACTCTTTGAAAGGGCCCCACAGCCGCCGGTGATCCTCACCGAGCGGAAGGTAACAAAAATAGGAGTGAGTGGAAACGCACCGCAAAACAACTGCACCCGCCGCCCTTCAACGCGGAATCGTTTTTGAAAAAAGAAAAACCAAAAAAGATCGACGGGTAATTAAAAAACGAGGAACCAAAAAGAAAAAGAATCGCCCTCATTTATTTAGCCTCATCTGTTATTATGCTCCTTCCAAACGTATTTAACGAACAAACAAAAACCCTCCACACCAACCATGAGAGAGGCTCTCTTGCATCCGCGCATACACGTGAATACAGGGTCCCTCACGACACACAAACACACTCCCCACAAATATGCCCATTAGAGGGGCCTCACAATCATTTTTATCTTCCTACAGTCCCACGTCTTCAAAATTAAATAAATAAAAAGAAAGAAAAATCATTCATATACAGCGATCCATTGCCCTCTAGCCGCAAGCGGTGGCCCAAATCGTCGCACCAGTACCGAACACGACGCCAATGACACCCGACAGCAGCAATATGTACGTGCACACGTAGTGGACGCATCCCACCTTCCTCCACGTCCAATCCCCCGAGTACATCGCAAACAGCGCCGGAAGAAGAAAGCCGAGAGAGCCGCCTGTGATGGAGCCGGCAAAGCCCAACACAGTTTGGATCTTCGGGATGAACAGGCCGCAAAATAGAACAATGGTCGAAAGAATGGTCACGGCAATGCAGTGCTTCCAGTAGGGCAACTCATCCGCATCCCACCCAATAATGTGGTAAATGGCATTGCGGCAGGCCATGAAGAGCAGCGAGTAGGAGGCACACAGCTTGGAGAGAACGCCAACGTAAGCCACCATCACCTCGGGCTCTTGGAGTGGATCGTACATGAGCAGGATGGAGCCGTCCACCTTCCTGCCAAAGTCCATGTAGCCAAAGAAGGACACCATGGCGTACAGCAGGAAGCACAGCATCATGCCCAGCCCGGAGGCAAGAGTGAACCTGGTGAGCGTGCGGTCCGTCATGTCCCAGTACACCTCGTATGAGTTGATTTGACAAACGTATGCAAACATAAAGACGCCAAGCCCCTCAATCGCCTTGTTGCCGCTATTGAAGAGCACCACAGGAGCGTCATCGTCCTTGCTCACGCTGATTTTGTGGATGTTGTCCGGCAGCCCGTGCGTACACGAGTGCACAACGATGACCAAGACAAAGTAAATCATGAAGGAGACAGCAAAGGTGGAAAAGTAGCGGAGCGAATCAACGTGCTTCGGGATCACCAGTGGCATCATCGCGCAGAGCCACACAAGGGCCGTCAGCAGGCGATTGCCGGTGGATTCCCTCAGGAACTGCGGTGCGCTGTCGCTGCTGCTTATGATGTTCCTGAAGATATCACCGACACTGATCACGTACGCGACACAGCCGCTAAATCCGTGAAAGATGCGCACACCCGCCGCAAAAAGGGCAAATCCGCGGCCCAGCAGCGCCAACGCAACACCCTCAAAGGTGCGGATCTGCGATCGCTGCGCTGCCAAGCCAAGAGCATACATCGAGTAGATGGTCAGGGACGTGATGACCGCGAGGTACACGAGGGCCATCACGAGCCCACTGCTGTTCGCTGCCAGGGGCAGACCGAGGATGCCGGCGCCAATCGACGACGACGCAAGGTTGAAGGCGCTCGCAAGGATACCGCCCGGAGGAATAACGACAATCACGCACCGTTTCAACTTCGCGAGAATGGTGTCGGAGGCCGGCGGCTCGTTAGACACGGGCATCAACTTCTCCGGCACCGCATCCTCCCCCGTGCGTTTCCTTTCGCTGCCGTTCATCTCGTGAGATGAGTGGTGTGACGGGCTGTCGCCGTCGTCGGGCAGGCTGCCGCTCGTGGCGGGGACCACAGGGTTCGTCCGGCTCATGAATACTGGCGTCCTCTCTTCACTGCTAGGCGTGTGCGTGTGAATGCTTCTCTTCCCAAACTATTGGAGCTCCTACAATTGCAACAAGAAGTAACGAAAGGAGAGAAGGGGAGAAAGTTGTCAAGCAGGCGGGTGCGTGTGTTGGTGCGTGGAGACTGTTTGTGCGGTGTGCTGGGCGGCGCACCGGTTGTTTTTGGACGACACCTTGGTTTGGCGTGTGTTCTCGCGGAAGGATTCGTTGGTGGTGGATGCTAGCAGGAACTGTGCGCACGGGCAATGCGGGCTGCTTCCTCGTTGTGCCAGAGTTCATCACACCTTATTGTTGGGGGAAGCCAGAGCCAGCAATGTTTCCCTCGTGAAATTATTGCTGGAGTAGCGGTGACGGCGTCGACCAATGGCCGGGACAGTCGTGTATTTCTGCGGCACAGTACAGCACCATGAGGTGTGAGTGGTAGTTGTTTTTGTCATGCTGATCATCAAATGGATTAGGTAGAAAAAAAAGGCAGAAGATAAACAAAGCAAAAATAATAATACAGTAAAAAAGAAGAATTTGGAATAAGTACAACACCAGACCTTCTACACCGGTAACAAGAAAATAATAATAAAAGAAAATGTTCATGTCTGAGTATGTGCCACGCAATAAGCGTGGCCGCCTTTGTTGCTTGTGCAGCAGCATGCGGATAGTGGTTAATAAGCAAAGACACGCACACACATACATACAGACAAAGAGGCAAAAGGCGCCTGCCACGTACTGCCCTGAATTGTGTTTGTTTCAGTTGGTGAGCTTGATTTCTTTATTTTTCGTCATTTTGTGTTGTGCGTTTCCCTTTGCCATATATATAAATATATATATATATATTTAGCGCATAACCTGTGCCACTCCGTTTCTAAGGTCCCGCGAGTATGACTGCAGTCCAGTCGCTCCCTCCATGAAGAGGAGGCTGCCGCTGCTGTTCTCCGTTACATTCTTCATGGTGTCGTAGTATTGGTTGATCATGAGGAGATTGAGCACCTCCTCGTTGCTCAGCCCGGGCACGTCTTGCCGCATCTCCGTGACAGATTTCCGCAGACCCGCCACGATGGCCTTCCGCTGCTCCGCCAGCCCCCGCCCCGCCAGCCGCCGCGATTCGCAGGCCGCCTCTGCAGCACGGATGCGCCGCATTTTCTTTGTCTCCGCCTCATCCACAACGGCCACGCGTAGCCGCTGGTTTTTCTGAATGCTGTTGATCGCCTCCGTCATGGCGGCACCAGGGTCAATCTCTGTGATGAGCGCGGAGACAATGTCCCAGCCGTAGCCCTCAATGACGGCGTCGGTCTCGCTCTTCAGTTGCTGGGAAATGGTGCCACGCTCGATAAAGAGCGCATCGAGGTTATAGAGCGGGATTTTCGTCTCCACGCAGTTCTCCACATAGCTCTGAATGACCTTTAGCGGGGCCTCAACGGAGTAAAAGGCCGAGTTCTCCCGGCCAGGAATCACCTGCACATGCACCGTCAACCGGATATTGACAAAGACGTTGTCTTTCGTCTTGGACCGAATGTGGATGTTATGCTCGTACAGTCGCATGGAAAGCGTCCCGGCTTTAGAAGTCCACGGGAGTATGCAGTGGCAACCGGGCCCCGCCGTTCCAACGTACTTGCCGCAGGTCTCCAATAACGCCACATCCGATTGCTCCACGCAGGTGTAGCAGAGTAACTGGCCCATTTATTATTATTATTAATATATATATATATTTTCCGTTATTTTTTATTGTATTTTTTTTTTGTGTGTGTGTGGCTTCGCTCCTTTAGTTCCTTCTATCTG